GGAGGGACCGGGGGGGGGGTCAGCAACGGCCAGCCACCATGCTCAGCCAGGGGACCCCAATCTCTGTCCAGAAGCAGAAGCCCCATGGATTTGTACTATTTCACAGCAGTGGGCAAGGCTGGAGTGCCAGAAGCCCCAGGGACCAGGGAAGATCCTTTTTGAACCTTCCCCTTTTAGAGTTTAGAAAGGAACGTGCGGAAGTTACTCCTTACAAAGTTTTCAACCAGTAACTTCACAATCCTTATTCCTTCTTTTATTTTCTTTAAGAAAGGAAAATTGGCCCGTGAGTCTTCCTGTCTGTGGAAGCCCCTGCGGGCAGCTGGGAAGCGGGGAGGGCAGAGGTGTGGGAGGAATGGGGAGCCAGGGCAAGGGAGATCCTCTCCAGAGGAGAACAGAGAGCAGACACGGAAAGCATCAGGGTGGGGCTTCCGGGAAGCCAGAGGGATAAGTGCCTTCTTCCTCTTTTGGCTAAGATCGACCTCTGATGCCGAAAGCGCCCCCCCCCATCCACCTGTCTCACCTTCTCCAAGTCTTCCGTGCGTGTTGTGTGTGCGTGTGGGCCTGCCCGCTGCCCCACCACGCACAGGAGGGACTTGTGGGGGCTTTTCTAACCGCTCGACTTCCTTCCAGGGCCCTTTTGTCCACTTGTCCAGCATGCTGGCCGCTTACCTGGGCAAGGCTCGGACCACCGTCTCGGGGGAGTACGAGGTATGGCCAAAAGTCGTTGGATCTGGGAACCGTGGGGTTGGAGGGGGACCAAGGGCCACCCTTTCTACCCCCCTCGGCTCATGCACTGAAAGATCTCCCAGTTCTTCCAGAATCTGAGCCGGACACTCCTTTCAGATCCTCCTTCCTCACCTCCCAGATGGTACTAACACAAGAGTAAAACATGGGGATGATGGGAAGGCGGCTTTTCTTGGCATGGATGACACTCTCTCTTCCTCCTCTCCTCCTCTCTCTTCCAGAATAAGAGCAAGCAGAACGAGATGCTGGTGGCGGGGGCGGCTGTGGGTGTGGCCACGGTCTTTGGGGCTCCCATTAGTGGTAAGTGTCGCTGTGACTGCAGCCCTTCGGGGACGCAGGGCAGGGGCTGAAGCCAGCGTTCAGCATGAGACCATGACCCAGGGCACGTGGGGTGAAGCTCCCTTTGAGGGGGGGGGTTTGGCACCCCTCGCAAAAGGCGAGCAGGTGTGATATGGGGGGGGGGGAATGAGGACAGGAGGCCTGGTGCAGGCTAGCAAGAGAACTGTTGAGCTTGCCCATGGCTCAGACTCAGCGGACACACTTGCAAAGTGAGTAGCGAAGGGGGAAAAGGGGATTTGGCTTGCCTTCAGTAGAGCAGTGCAGCCCTTGAGGCGCTGGGGCCAAATCTGCCCCTCTAGGCCAGCCTTCCTTCGCTAGGACACCCATCAGCCTCCAACGGGAGAAGCTGAAAAGACTTCTCAGACTTCATTCCTGGAAGGTGTTACAACTGTGCTGCTGTTCGGGGTGCCGCCCCCTGCTGGAAGGCGGTAGATCAACCTAAGCTTTCAGAGGGGCCCCCTCTGAACTGGGGGAACTGGCAGGTCCCAGTCTAGCCGCTGGGGCCGGATTGGGCCCACCGGGGGCCAGTTGCTGGCCCGTCCCTCCTCGTGAGATGCCACTTGTGCCCTTCCACGTTCTCTCTGATGGCCAAGCGCCGGGTCCTTCCCTCTCCCCACCCACCCCAGGAGTCCTGTTCAGCATCGAGGTGGTGTCCTCCCACTTTGCCGTCCGAGACTACTGGAGGGGCTTTTTTTCAGCCACCTGCGGAGCCTTCATGTTTCGCCTCCTGGCTGTCTTCAACAGCGAACAAGGTGAGGGAAAAGCAGGAAGGGGAAACAGACAAGTCCGGGGGTGGGGAGAGGTTCATTGTGAGAACACACAGAACGATGGAGCTGGTGGGAGAGGGAAGGAGTGGAAGAACTGGGGAAGAGGGACGGGGAGGGGTGAGGAGAGAAAGGGGGGGAGGAACTGGAGGGGGATCCCCCTCCACCTGCAGCCGGTTTTTAACACCGGTCTTTCTTTCTTTCTTTCTTTCTTTCTTTCTTTCTTTCTTTCTTTCTTTCTTTCTTTCTTTCTTTCTTTCAGCAACCATCATGGCTCTCTTCAAGACCAGCTTTAAGATTGATCTGCCCTTTGACCTGCCAGAGACCTTCTTCTTCGTGATCCTGGGGTGAGGCTGGAGAAAGGGGGTGCTGGGAGAAGAGGGCAGATGGCCGGCCGGCCACCAAAGAGAAGGCCACCAGATCCACGCCTCTCCCTCTGCCATCTTTCTCTTTTTGCAGAGCCATCTGCGGGGTGGTGAGTTGCGCCTACCTCTACTGCCAGCGCTGGCTCCTGGGCTACGTCCGGATCAACCACCTCACAGCGAAGCTCCTTGCCACCGAGTAGGTCTCTGGGAAAAGGGGGGCGGCTTTGCTGAGAGTGCGAAGGGTGGTTCTGTGGAGAGACAGGGAGCCCTTCTCTCTCTGGGGGCATATTCAGGGCTTCTGCCCATGCCATGGATCAGCTCTGCCAGGCTCCCTGCCCGTCAGCCTCTGTTCCACCCTTCGCGAAAGGGGAGGAGCCACACTGCCCTGCCCTGCAAAGCTACCGACGAACAGCTGCTGGTCTCTCCTTTCTGCCTTTGGAGGCATCCTGGGGCACCTCCTTCCTCCTCGACTGATCCACAACACAACACAAGGGGTACGAAACGCCTGCCCGGGTTCAGGCTTGGAGAGACCCAAACAAGGCGACCAAGCAGGGCGCAGAATGCCCGGAGAAGGCTCAAACCCTCTGCCCCCTTTTTTGAAAGTGTTGCGGAAAGTGGAGGGCAACCCAGGCCAGTCCATGTTAGGGCAGAGTTTAACCCTCCCGTGATCCCCACAGCCAGTCTTCCCAAGAACCAACGGGTCTGTTTAGGCGTACCGGTGTACGTTGAACCCCCTCCCCCTCCCCCTGCCCGATGGAAGGGCCATGTGACGTTTCTGAAGCTCCCTGGTCCCAGCTTTGATAGAACCAGGGCCACAAACGAAGTGCAAGGAAGACTGTTTTTGTCCCAAGCCAGGGAGTCTTTCTTTCCACCTGGGCTTGTGGGTTTCTGGCTTCCCTGCCAAGAGATCTGTGGAGAGAGAAGTTTGGGCTTCCTTTCTTGCATTCTGAAAAATAACACCAAGTTTATTCTTTGATCTGTTTTCCCCTGCCCCCGCCCCCACCCCCACCCAGGAAACCCTTTTATTCGGCTCTGGTCGCTCTCGTGCTTGCATCCATCACCTTCCCACTTAGTCTGGGGCAGTTCATGGCCTCAAGGGTAAGCAATACTCTTTTTCTACCCATTCTGCCAGAGAAAGAGCACATCGGAGCATACACAGAGGATTGTTGTTCTCAAGGCTACATAGCTACGGATGGCTTGGTCCTCTGCCGCTCCGCCCAAGCAGGGGTGTGTGCCTGTAGGTGCGTGTGAGGCACCAAGTGTGGTACACAACCAGTGCGCAGGCAGGAGACGGACCGGCTGATGGTGCAGGAGGGGATGGCCTCCCTTCCACCCCTTGGCAACTGGGTCTAGCGCGATGGTGGTCTGGATACCCAAAGGGGAGGTTGATGGGTGATCGCGGACTGACCACATCCCTCCGTCGCCGCCCCTCTCGCTCTCGCGGCCTGGCCCAGCGGACAGGGCTGTTGTGAAGATAGAACAGGAAAGAGGAGAGGCAGGCATTAGGGTGATTGGAGACTAGGCAGCGAGGAGGGGGGGAGCCCTACAACTGATCCATCTGTTTCCTTTCCATAGCTGACCATGAAGGAACTCCTCAACTCCCTTCTGGACAACCACACCTGGGGGGTCCTTTCCCAGAATGCCTCGCTAACCAGGCCCCTCCAGGTCGACCCCGAGAACCTGTGGCTTGAGTGGTGGGACCCCAACCTCTCCATCTTTGGCACCCTGGTGGTCTTCCTGGGGATGAAGGTATCCAGGACGGCAGCTGGCCAGAATCTCCCCCCCCCCTTCTCCCTGTCTCCCTCTCTCTGCATCTGCTTGATGGCCCTGCCTCATCCTTGCTGAGTTTTGCACATAAGGGAGTTTTTAAAAGAGGATGGTGTTCCTTTTCCGAGATAGATGCATGCAAATCAACTCATGAAACTGAGTGACACAGGCTGGTTGGGACTGACCTCCTGCCCCTTCCCTCTTCTCCCTCCTCTAGTTCTGGATGCTGATACTAGCCACCACCATGCCCATGCCTGCTGGGTACTTTATGCCGGTCTTTGTGTATGGTAAGCTCTTCCAGCACCCCCGGGGCCCCCCTTTCCTCTCTTCTGGCTAGCTTCATATATATATATAAAGTTGAAGATAGAAAATGGTTAATCTTGTCTAAAACGTGCTCGGAATGTCTGCGGTGGCTGTGGTGTAAAGGCGCTTCACTCAGGGTGACGTGCTTTTCTCTCCTTTCTGGCAGGGGCTGCCATCGGGCGCCTGGTGGGGGAAGTGGTCGCCCTCCTGTTTCCCGAGGGCATCTGGTCGGAAGGTCTGGTCAGCCCCATCACCCCGGGAGCGTATGCCCTGGCAGGTGAGTCTGCCCAGTGGAGGGGGCAAGGTGGTGGGCGTGGAGGCTGAGGATCAGAGTTTAAGGGGATTGCATTTTCTCTGCCAGTTTCATATTTCCCCTCTTTTAATGGGATTTCCTCCGAGACCTCTTCCTCAGCCATCAGGTTCGCAAATTAAACCCATGTTGGCCTCCCAGTGACCAAATGGAAACAGGGCACGCTGAAGGGAAGATACGGAGATGAGGAAAAGGCAGTCCTGTGAGACACCGGCACCTTTTCTGGGCTGAAGGGAGCTCTGCTTCCCAAAGGGCTGTCCACCTCGTAGTCCGGCCCTCCTCGGTCTCTGCCAGAGGCCCCGGACTGCCCCAGCTGCCCCCCTCTCAGCCCCCCTGAGGTTGAAAGGGGGCCAAGAGGAGGTGCCTCCTTTCCGAAGGTGGGGGAGACATTCCTTGGTTGGGCAGCAGCTGCGAGCGCCTCCTCCAGCTTGGCCTTTTGGGGCAGGGCTGTGTCGGTGGCCAAGGTCCCAAGGCTCAGCCCGGCCTTCCTCCCCACAGGGGCAGCCGCCTTCTCTGGCTCGGTCACCCACTCCCTCTCCACGGCCCTGCTTGCTTTTGAGATGACGGGGCAGATTGCCCACATTCTGCCGGTCATCCTGGCCGTCCTGGTGGCCAACGCCATTGCCCAGAAGTCTCAGCCTTCCTTCTACGACGGCACCATCATTGTCAAGAAGCTTCCCTACCTGCCTCGCATCCGGAGCAGGCACATCGGGTGAGCAGCTCCCCTGCCCCCAAGACCGCTTCCTCCCCGAAACGCCAGCAGTGGCCGTGTTCAGCTAGGATTGCTGTTGCACAGTCGCCCTGGGGGACTCCTTGCCACAAGGGGCACCCGGGGGCTGACCAGGCCCAAGTCTTCTTACGCTCTTTCTGGGACCTTCCCGAAAGCAGCAGTCGCTGCCGCAGCGGTGGGACTCACGCCTTCCCCTCCTTGCCTACACAGCTCTTACCAGGTCACGACCCAGGAGTTCATGAAGACCCATTTTGTCACCCTGCCCAAGGACGCCTCCTTCCAGGAAGTCCTCCAAGTGATCACTTCCACCGAAGATCCAGAATACCCCGTGGTGGACAGCAGAGGTGAGGCAGGTGGCCTGAGAGAGGGCACTCCCCACCGCGGACAGAGGTGCGGCACCCAATTTTGGGCCAAATTGTCCATTGCAAACAACCAGTTATCGGAAGAGGGATTCCTTAGGTGCTGATAGCGTGCGGATGTCACCACAAGGACTTCTCTCACCTCCTGTGGTTTGCAAACTTTCCTTCGCTTTGTTTCAAAAGACTAGGGTACTACAATTTGCTATGCAGGTGCACCCTTCTTTCCCCCGCCCCCAGTATAACCCATGGGGGCTCTTCCTTTCACCCAACTCTTCCCTCCCACACACAGAGACCTCCATGTTGCTGGGGGTCATCCGGAGATCTGAACTCATCCAGTTCCTGCAGACCCACGATGAGGCCAGCCTGCCCCACAAGGAAGACGGGGAACAGGTGGGTCCTGCCCTGGCCTTGAGACCAACTTAACAGTGGGGAGATGATGGGGGGGGGGAGAGGATCAGGGCCTCGACTGGCCCAGGAGCTTGGAGGCATTCCTGTTCCGGATGGCCCAGCCTGGGAGTTTTACTCTTTCCCAAGGGGAGGTTCTCGAAGCTCTTGCTGGAGGCCCTTCCCATCTGGCGGGGGTTTGTGGGGGGGGGGAAGAGGGGGACGTGAGACTCGTTCCCGCCCCCCATTCCAGCCACACTCAGCAGCGCCTCCCTCTCACAGCCTCCCTCTCGCCAGACCTTGGGAGAAGTCTGCACTTTCAGCCCTGTGACCCTCCAGCTCTCCCCTTGGACATCCCTGCACCAGGTGATTGAGGGGCGGGGGGGCTGCAGCACTCAGGGAGGGGCAGCTTCTGGCTACAGTGGCTGAGCTGAGCTGCCCTGGGCAACAGCAGTCTACCAGTTGCTGGGAAACAACTGCCTGGACTCCAGCCGGCCTCTGGTTGTCCTTGGCAGGAAAATGTGGTCTGAAGGGGGGGCGGGCACAGGGGGGGGAAGAGGGAGACGTTTTAGTGGAAGCACAGGAGGCAGGGAGGGGAGAGGCTCAGAACAGCCCTCCCCCCCCCGTCTCCTGTGGCAGAGGACAGCTGCAGAAAAGAAGGCACCAGACAAGAAATCCTGCCATGGCTGAGGGGCTCGTTGGCCCATGATCCTGCCCAGAGCTTTCTGGGAGATCCAGGGAGTTGTAGTCCCAAAAGAGGGTGTTCGGCTCACCCTCCCAACCACCTCTTTCTCTCTGGCAGGCCCACAACCTTTTTGAGCTGCTGAGCCTCCAGTGGGCGTTTGTCACCCAGCTGGGCCAAGTGGTGGGGGTCGTCTCCAGGTCCGAGGTAAGGAGTCTGATGCGCTTGAGGGACCCGGGAAGAGGGCCGGTCCTTTGGATCCCCTTGCCCTCACTGGGCCCTGGTTGGGGAGCCTCACCCTCTCCGGGAAGGGACGGCCACAGGCCCAGAATGGCTGAGCCAGAAGGGGACCCCTGATGCCCCCCCCCCGCAAAAAGGTCATCCGAGGCAGCCCCAGGGAGGAAGCAGGCGACGGAGAGGTGGCTGCGCACGCAAACACCTCCCCTCGATCCTTAGGCCGCACATTCCCGGGAGTGAGCCCCCCCCCACGGGTGTAAGCAGGGAAGAGCCGGCTGGGGCTTGGCTGAACCCCCCCCCAGCCCTTTTCCTTCACTTGCCTGCAGACAGTCTCCAAACCTTAAGGCAAAGTGCCTGGCATATTCCCCAAACAGCATAAGCGCGGGGGTGGTGGTGGCAGTGGTGGAATGTCCTCCCATGTCTCTGAAATCCTCTGGGGAGGCCCTGCTCTAGCACCCAGGGAAGTGCCCTTTAGTCAAGGTGGGAGGGAAAATACCCCCCCTTGCAAAAGGGAGTCCCCTCCCCCGCCTTCCTCTTCCCAAATTGGTCTCTCTCACCAAGAATCAATCCTTTTGTTTGAAAAAGCTCTGATTGGTGGGGGTGGAGGGTGGCTGCTTTCCTTGCCCTGGCATTGTTTTCAGCTTTGTGCAAATCACATGACCTGCTAACAAGCCCTTGACCTAGACGCTTGTAAGCAGGAGAGTTCACCCCTCTCACGCCCCCCCCCTTTGCAGCTGGGAAACTCGCTGGCCGGGGCCAGTTCCCCCATCCTGGCCCCCCCAGTTTTAAGTTCATTCACAGGGTTGTCCGCAACAACCTGGGAAAGGGGCTGAGAGAGAGCCCCCCCCATCCAAACCAGCTCCAAGGGGCTGGCCGGGTAAAGGTCCGTGCAGCCCTTTGGGTCTTGACGGCAGCTCTGGTCCCCCCCCCCCTTTAGCTCCGGAAAGCCATTGAAGGCCTGGCAAATCCCAAACCTGCCAAGTAGGATGATGGGCGGAGCCCCTGCTTCCTCACAAGGGCAGAAACGGGAGCGCCCAGCATGACGGAGAAGCGGAGAGAACGGCTCCTTCACTCACTCAGGTGCCTGTGATTTATTCTGACTGCAAATTAAATATGCAAATATTTTCCATCTCTTATAAGCCTGTGGTGACTGGAGGGGGGGCAGGGGACATAAAAATAACACAATGCCTTTTCCCCTTTAAAAACCCGGTGCCCTTTGTCCACCTTCAAAGCCCGTTCCTTGGGGAGCTATCCCCCCTGCCCCAGGGGCCCGGACAGTGGCCCCCCTGGGCTGAATGGGGTGACGCAGGAGGGGCTGGGCCCTTCAGATCAGGATCTGCCTTGTTTATTTATATATGAAATGTCCACCCCACCCATCTGGTGACAAGCCACGACTCTGCACGGCGTATCTTTTATTTACAAATATACACACGTGACAAGGAACCAAAGAGAGACAACAGACAGCCTGTGAGCAGCAAACTGCCAGCAAACATCAAGGGATCCTCTGGATTGTTAGTTAGCACACACATACACGCCTGGACAGTGGTCAGTGGATCTCTGCTCCAAGCAACCGGCCAGATAGGACAAGAGGAGGCCGGGCTCATCCCACCAAGCCAGGATTTGCAGCCTGATCATCATCAGCTGCTCCGATCCCTTCCCGGTCCTGCTCTGCTGACCTGAACCCTCTGCAGTCAGAATCTCTGGCAGGCGCGAGGAAGGCAGTGCTCCCAAGGCTGTGTCACCAGAGACAGCTTCCAAGCGGAGACGGTCACCCTCTCACACCCTCGCCCAGAGTGCAGAAGGAGCCACTTTGCCTGTGTGTCCGTGTTGATCCAAAAGCACAGAACAGGCACCAAAAGCCAGGAGAGGGGTCGGCCCAAACACCCCAGGGCTGATGGCCGCCTAAGGACCCTCGGGTTTTGCTTGCCATAAGCAGAGCGGGTGGGGTTGCCAAGGATGTCGCTTTGTGTGCGTGTTTGGCGAGGGGCTACAACGTTGGTTTTGGTTTTGCTTTTTTTAAAACTACGTCAGCCATGGGATTGAGAATGGTCGTCCAAAAAACAATAACCTCCATCTCTGTTTTTTTGCCCCCACCCCTCAAGGAAAAAAATATTCTCAAAACAGTTCCCTTTCTGAGTTTCCCTGAGAGGCAGCTGAGGCAAACAGGAGCCCCTCCCGTTCCTGTCTCTTCCTGGAACCTGTCTCCAAAGGGACTGCAGCCTTCTGAGAGAAAAGGCATCCTCTTCTCTTTTGGGGTGGGGGGGGAGAGGAGGCTGGAGCCCAGCTCACCGAGGGGGACAGCGGCCTCCTCTGGCCAGCCCGTCCCGTCCCCCCACGGCCTCCAGTGCAGCCATCCTCTAGTTATAGAAGACGTCGTCCTCAGAGACGGAGCTGCTGTCCACGTATCGGAGGGAGGTGTTGCTGCGCCAAAGCCAGAGGGATCCAGGCATGCTCTCCTCTTCTTGCTGCTCCCCTCGGGCGGAAGGGGGCAGCTCCCCCCACCTGGGCCACACATGTCCATTTGGAACGGGGGACTCCTGGCCAGACGGGGAGAAGACCGGGAGGCTTTCTGTGACGTGAGGGCCCCCAGTGCCCTCTGAGCCCCAAAGGACGTTCCCCTGCAGGTAGATGCTTTCCAGGTCTAGAGGAAAAGGAGTGGCAGAGGTCAGAGTGCTGGACTAGGACTCTAAAGGCCTGAGTTTGAATCCCTCGGGTTTTCGGGTGATCTTGGGACTGCTACACACGCTCAGCCTGGTCGACTTCACTGTCATGAGGATAAACTGGGAAGCAGGAGAGCCACGTAAGCCACCTTGAGCTCATCGCTGGAAGGGCAGGGAATACACAGGGCAGCTGCAGTACCTGAATCAAATGAGGCTCAGAACTGGAAGCATTTGACTAGGAGGAAGAGTCGGGAAGCTTTCTTGAGTTACACTTGTGGGAACTTGAAGATACATAAAATGGAGACAGAAAGGTCTCCCACCTTGAGGAGCTACCTTTCAACAGCAGGGGAGTGGATGGGGAAAAAAGGAGGAGGAAGAGCTGAAAGAAGAGCCGAGCCTGAACAGAGTAGTAAGGCAGAAAGGAGCCCAAATGCCCTCTGAAACCTAGAAGCTCCTTGGAGTGAGGCTGGTTTCCAGATGCGAAGGCTGTGGCCATCTGTGACCAAGGGGGGGGGGCTTCCACTTGCTCCCCTCCTGAGAGCACCCAACCCGCACACCCCATTTTGCCCAGGCCTTCAAGGGTTACAGAGAGCAGAGGAAGGGGAAGGGACCTACCTTGCAGCTGGACCACCTCTTGGGTGGCCCCTCCGTAATCCATCTCTCTTTCCTCCAGCGAGGACCAGGCGCTCAGGGTGGCTTCCGTTATGGCAAACTGCTCGGCAACACCTGGGGGGGGGAGGAGGAAAGGGGTAGCCAGAGGAGCTTTGGGCAAGGGAGGCAGCCGTGGCTGGTCGTCCTCTTCAGTCCCCACCGGGAGCCCTGAAGCTAGTAGGTCAGGCCTGAAAGGAGCTCCCTGCTCCAGCAGGAATGAGGCCTCCCATCCTTACCCAGGAGTGAATCATGGCTTTTGGGAGACAGATAAACATCCAGAGCAAACCTGTGCAGGTTTCATCTGATGTCAGCTCCACTGAGTTCAATGGGGATGAATGCAAGGTAACTGCAAGGGATGACTCAGGTGGGAGGCAAATGAAGCCCCCCCCCACCTCAGCCCAGTGTAGCAAGGCCACGACTCCATGAGGTGTTTTTGGCTGGGAAAGAGGGGAACCGTCCCTCTGTCCGGCAGCGTCTGGTGCCCACCCGTGGCTGCAACCTTGAAAGGAGGTGCAGTTTTAGGGGCTCCCTGCCCAGGCCCCAGGGGGCTCCCCCAGGGGGCCCCGGCCCCTTTCCCCCTGGCTCACCTGCAGCGAACCGAGCCTCTTTCAGCTCATCCGTGAGATCGGCGTAGAGCTCCTCGCCTGTCAGGGTAGGATCCCAGCCCGCCTGGGAGGCCCTCCAGCCCTTCCACTCGATGAGATGGGCCACGCGGCCCTGGGCCATGGCGGTGGGCTTGGTGATGTGGTCTTTGATGGTCTGGACGAGGCCTGGGGGAGGGGAGCGGCGGCAGAGACAGAGGAAGAGGAGGAACCGGGAGCCCAGGGGTGCAGGCTCTGAGGAGGCATGGAAAGGCTGGCGGGAGGGGGAAGGGAGGGCAGAAGAACCTGGCCACGGCTGTGCCAAAATAGGGCTGGGAGTTGCCATGGAAACAAACACACCGAGATCTGTTAATCTCCACAAGGTCTCATGGCTTCAGCAGCGCAGACAAACCGAAAGTAGGGAGGCTGCTTTGGGAACAGGCCAAGGCTTGGCTTGCAGACCACAATGCCTCAGGACACAACACACACACACACCCCGCTGCATTCTCCCTTTCTCCAGCCCTCTTCTCCTCAGACTTCTTGGCCTGTTGCTTAGGAGCTGCCCCCTTCCCGCCTGTGCTCCAGAGAAAGCAAGGAGAGGCACCCGGCCGGCCAGCGGACTTCAGCCGGCCCTTTTCCCCACTCGGTTCAACAGGTACTGTGTACCTGCAAGCTGGCAGGCCCTCCTCCAAGGGGTCCCAAGACCAGAGTCGCCCACGCTGGAAGCCACTGGCCTCCGGAGAGGACCGGTGTCGGTACCTACCCACCAGGGAGGACGTGGCCAGGGCCGTCACGTTGTAGCCCCCGGAGGAGAAGCCTGGGTTGGCCCTGGAGAGGAGGCCGCTGGAGGAGACCTGGCCATTCTTCTGTTGGAAGGAGGAAAAGGGGGTGGTGGGAAGGGCCCGGCTGCTGCCATTTAGGAGATGATGTCTCTGTCCATGAAAGAGGTGTGTGGGGAGGTGGGGGGGGTGCTGCCTTCTTCACTCCAATCTGTCCTCAGTCTAAACGAAGGGGCAATGACAGCTCTCGGGAGGGGGGGCTCCCTCAGGGAGAACAATCTCTCCTACCCCAGTCACTCCTGTTTTCCAGCCCCCTTGGCCTGAAGCCCTCCCCAGTCTCCACGGGAGGGGCCATCCCGAGGTCCCTTCAGCAACGTTACCTCTTTGCTCTTGTCCTTTTCTGGGGCGCTGGGGCTCTCCTGGGGGGCCACAAGGGGGCCCTCTGCCTGGGAGTGAACTGGCTGTTCCTTATGGCTGCTTGTGAAGAAATCTGCAAGAAAGCAAGCAGAACAGTGGCCACCAGGAGGCCCAAGGAAGACCACTAGGTGGCACTACTGTGCCCGCCATCTCCTGCCCCTCTTAAAACCCAGGGTTGGTTCCTCCTCCCCCCCCTTTTTTTTTTGTCCCAGGGAGTGGAGAGAGAAGCCTTTTGCTGCTCCAGGTGTTGGCAGGTGTTCCCATTAGGCTGCTCTCCATGTTGCTACCAGGTTCCCTCCTTTAGAGGAGGTAAGAGACTGCACTGACGCTGCCTTCTTGGCATCTTGCCAGCGCTTCCTCTGAAGGAGAGCTTCCCTCCCCTCCTCTCCCGGCTGCCCTGTTAGATCTCAAGCCACATGAAGGGCTGAAGAAAAGGCCTTCGTCGCCCAAAAGCTGGTGCTCGCAGGGGCCGGCTTCAAAAGGCATCCTGCTCTTTTGGGTTCCTACTTCCTCTGGCACCTGTGGAGCCCAGGCCAAAAACACATCCTAACCGAAGAGATGAGAGGGCCACCAAGGATGTGCAGAGTGCAAAGGATTTATTGCAAACCATGCTAAGTCCTAAAACCCACCAAAGGCCTGAGGTGTAGAACAGAATCCCACCCATGCCTGGCAAAAGGACGAAAGAGAGGTCAGGCGCCAGGCACCCCAGTCCCGTTGCAGGTCAGGGACCGCTGGTGGGACTAGATGCTCCCCCCCCCGCGCGCGCCCCACATTAGCCAGGCAGGTGCCGCCTCTAAGAGATAGACAGTGCTTGCACATGGAGGTTTATCTTAGCCACCATCAGCAACCAGTCGCCCTGACGGGAAATCTGACCTTAGCCAGCCGTCGGGAGGCCGACCAGCTAACTTTCCTGCGCCCTGACCTCTGCCCGGCCGGGGTCCAAAGGGGGGGGTCCCTCCCGGCCCCAACTGTCCACGAGACGCCCCCCCTCCGCCGCCGCTTTCATTCACGGGCGAGGGGCGGCCGGAGCGGTCCCGCCGAGGGAGGCAGCGTGGCAGGGAAGAGGGGGTGGCCCCAGGCGGGACCGCCGTTCCCGATCCCTCCTGAGGGTTTGGGGGGGCGCCGCTGGGGGAGGCTCACCTCTGGTCACGCACAAGCCCATGGTGGGC